TCCCCTGTCCTCATCCCAGCCGAGTTCCCCCACCCGCTGTTCCTCTCCCATCTTCTCCCCAGCTCCACCTCCAGAGCCACCTCTCCCACACTTTAGAGCTCAGGAGAGCCCTGCACACACGCTACGGCTTAGTTATTTTTCTAACTGCTAAGACAAAATACCTGACACCCAAAGTTAGAGCTCACAGACCGCAGAGGTTTCAGCTCAGAGTTGGCTCGCTCCAAGGCAGGGTGGATGGAAAGGGCGCACTGAAGAGGAGAAACTGTCCATGGCAGGCGGGCAGGGGAGAGCCAGCGAGGGGCCTTAGCAGCTCCTTTCTGCCCCTTTTCTACTCTACCTGGACGCCGGGATCAGGGCGGCGCTCAACCCATCAGTGGACTGATCTATAATCACACACCCTTAACCCCGGGGTCACACACTGCAGATCCAGCCACCTCTGAAAAGCCCCACCTAGGACCGCAGGAGGCTTGGGGGGACATCTAGGCACAAGCCACAGACCCAGCTCTTCCCCAAACCCTAACTCGCTTCTGTCCACCCCCTCCTGTTCTTGCCAGCGCCCGTGAGCACCAAGCTCGATGGCCGCTCCACACTGCAAGTCCTCTCCTAGGAAGCACAGAGAGATGAGAGCTCATTCAGAGTCCCAGGGCTGCTCAGTCGTGGTCACCTCTGCTCCAGAAAAGAAGGCAGCAGCTCAGGCCGGCAGGCTTCACGGAGGAGAGGCTGCGTGAAGCAGGGACAGGGACTTCGATGGTGCAGGAGGAGGTGAAAAGGCGCTTGTGGGCGCTGCCGGTCACCCGCTGAGAAGCAGCAGTCGCAGGTGACCAGTTCTGTGAGTGTGAGGCTGGGAACGAAACCCAGAAAAGGCTCTTTTTATTACTTTATTTTGAGACAAGGTCTCAATAAATTGCCTAGACCGACCCTAACTGTCCACCCTCCGGCCTCACCTCCCAGAGTAGCTGGGATCACATGTGTGCACTACCAGCCCCAAGCAAAATACGTGAGAGAGAAGAAGAAGAGACACACCGCATCCACGGGGAATGAGGGAAGGGCCCGCGCCTCCCCTGAACAGTGCAGCCCGCGGGGGCCAGGACTTTCCCACGCCGGATCGCTCACTAAGTCCTGGCGACAGAGAAGTGAGATCCGAACAGGACAAGGAACCCGGCCATAACTCACAAGGCTAAAGCGGAGCCACTTGGCAGCTGCAATCCGCAAAACAACCTGGTGTTGAAGACCCAGCTACAAGGACAACTCTGGCCCCGAAGCACAGCGGTCACCGTTCACTGCCACACGCCCCCGTGACGGTGACAAGTGTCCCCACACAGCAAGCATTTTACCACCAACACCGCCAGCCCTCCTTTCTTTCTTTTTTTCTTTTTATTGAGTTTATTGGTACAATCTAGGTATTAGGTAT